GGAGGGGGCTGGATCCTATCACAGGCAACAAAATGCACAAGGCTGCAATACACCCTGGATGTGATGCTAGCTGATCTACCTTTTGTCCTACACATTTTCTAGTCCAGGCAACGAGAGCCGGTCTGCTTATCTACATTCGGGGGAGGGTAGGGGGAGGGAATAAGACAATGGGGAGTGACAGACTGGATTGGGAGACTGGACATATGCTGGGCCCGGCTGTCCTTTTATAAGGGAGGGTACTGGGGTGAATCGGAATCTAATCCCGTGTCCTGGGAACGCACTGTCCACTGTTCTACAGGACCGGCCGTAATGAGCCCATAATGAGTCCATTTGGATTATGCAAAAAGATTTTAGTCTGCATCAGCCCTGGATGTCCTTCATTAAAGGAACTCATTACTCTTTCAGCATTAATCTGTTAGCTCAAAGACTAGGACGGCACATGGGCCTCTCTGGATTAAATCTTAGTTTAAAATATTGATTCTGTGGTAAAATGTCTCACTATTTTAGAACCAATCACACACAACTGTAATGCACATCATTCATTCTCCTTACGCTATTTATGTATGAGGCATAAATTTGAGATTTAAACAAACCAAGAGGATTTGTATCTTCCAAGCCAATGGAAGGCCACACAGCCGCTTCAGAATATTTATTCGCTGCTAATCACCCCTCCCTTGCATTGGCTGATGTGTCCCCACCAATCAGAAACCGGCTCCCGTGTCCACGGAGACGCTTAGGTATTAGTGGCTGTAAACGTGTGAGTGTGCACGCCCACGAGACCACAGAAAAACGCACAGGTGGGCATCTCTCTTATTATTACATTTAAACAGATTTATCGGTGCTCATGCTGATTTTGTCGCTCGGCTGAATTCAGCCGTGCCAGTGAAACATTACAGAGTGACGCCTCTTTTGTGTCTCTGGATGTTCAGGTAAGCGAGGCGCCTCTTGGTGTATAGTGTGAGAAATCTCTTAAAGGCACATACACGCAAATCGGAGAGAGCGGGCCTGTCGTTAATGATAATGAGTCAGCTTCATTTTCATTGCTCTTGTTTACACTGGAATATAAGCCCTGCTTACACCGGTCGTGCTCGGTGCGTGACGGCCGAATATGCACGATGATATTCTGTAAGGAATAAATACTCTCATGGGGCTGTTTCCTCTGCCTCAAAGCCCTCTCAGTTTCTTTCTTTCTTTTTTTTTTTTTCCCCCCCTGTCGTGTCCGGCAGTTTAGCAAGCAGGATGTTAGTCTGGGTGCTTTATTGTGCCAACACTTTTATTTTGCCAAGTGGAGCTTTGGATTAAGCTCCTCTTGTTACTTGAGATATACTCTTTATTCACCAGTTTAGATTATTGTGCCACAAAGCCGGAGCTGACGGGGGAAGTTAACTGAGGTAGAGGAGATAGAGAGAGGAAGAGAGGAGGGAGAGAAAGAGGAGAGAGACAGAAGAAGAAGGAAAATAAATAAATAAATAAATAAATACACAAAAAATTCATAAAAAAAAGAGGGGGGTCAGACAGAGAGAGACAAGGAAAGAAAAATAATACATGACAACTGAAGAAAAAGTAGAGCAAAAAGGACAGAGTAACAAAAGGACAGAGTAACAAAAGGAGAGAGTAACAAAAGGACAGAGTAACAAAACGACAGAGTAACAAAAGGACAGAGTAAAAAAACGACAGAGTAACAAAAGGACAGAGTAACAAAAGGAAAGAGTAACAAAAGGACAGAGTAACAAAACGACAGAGTAACAAAAGGACAGAGTAACAAAAGGACAGAGTAACAAAAGGACAGCTTCTGCATCTTACTGCTGGACATTGTATCATCACACCAGCTGCTGTTATCTGAAAAATAATATCCAGGTACAAACACAAAAAGTATACATACAAAGAAACCAATGGTACCAGCATGATAGGGAATATGCTTGTACCAGTATCTGCTTCTGGAACTAAATACATTAATATCTGAGAAGAAAGAATGGAAGCCAAACACACACACACACACACACACACACACACAACCAGACAAGGAGAGAGAGGGATAAAATAGGGCAAGAAAGCCCTGGGCTCTCTTGTGTGTGCGTGTGTGTGTGTGTGTGTGTGTGTGTGTGGATGTGAAAGTGTGTGTATGTGTGTGCGTGTGCATATGTATGTGTGTGTGTGCAAATATACGTGTGTGTGTGTGTGTGTGTGTGTGCATGTGTGCATGTTTGTGTGCTGTGAGTGTGCATGAGTGTGCAGGTTAACATGGAATGATTCCCAATGAGTGTGCGAGGCCACAACCACGCCGCCCCGGGGCCCGCAGACAGCCAGGAGAGCCCCGAGCGTCATGGACCCAGCCGCCCCACAACGGCCAGGCACCCGGGCCCCCCGCCACCACAGGGCTGCACGTCCGCCCAAGGAGGCAGAGGGGGGAGGCACCGGGCGCCCCCTACTGGCGAGCATGAGCCAGGAACCCCACGGCCACAGGCGGCAGTGCACCGACCCCCCCTGGGGGCGGGCCACGCAGGCACGGATAGAGCCTGGAGCCTGGGCCACCCGCACGCCCCGTGGGGGCCCTGCCAGCCCCAGGGAGACCTGCCCCCCCCCAATAACCCCCACCCGGGGGACCAGGGGGACACCCTGAGAGCCACCAGGCACACCCACCCCTGGCTACCCCGACCCCCCCTTCCCTCCCCAGTCCCCGCACCCTCCCTCCCCCAAATCCCCTCACTGCTGCCCCCACACCGCCCCATCATCCACATGCCCCCCCATTCCAGGACAAACATGCAGACTCACAGATCCATGCATACACACATACACACTCTCAGTCACACACTCTCAGTCACACCTGCTCGTCTTTGAGGTCCGGCAGCAGATGCCCTGGACACTTTCCCTGGGGAGTCTGGGTTCCGTCGAGGGCCTGTTTACACCAAGCACCTCTGCACAGGTATAAATCCCACCCCTGGGTTATTCTCTTTTGGGAACAAATGGTGACAAGGGAAAAACTTATATTAGGCTGTAACAAACAGGGGCGTAAACAGGGGGGCGGGGCCTCAGGGGCACTGGCCCCAGCTGAAAGCCAATTGGCCCCCAGAGTACCCACTCCCCTGTCACTCACCACTTCAACACGTATCATTGGCTAATGGCCCCTTTGAATGAATTATCGTGCCTCATATGCTCCATCGTCAAAAAGAAATCCTAAACCTCCCCCCCCCCTCCCCCCGGTAACAAACACACGTGTTGAAGATACAAGCGACATTTCCGTGATAGCGTATTTCAAATAGTTTTCCCATAATCTCTATTTCCAGGCACCTCTACTTAAATAGTAACATACTTACGCCTACAGGCTGACAAGTAGAAATGAAATTATTTTTTTGCCCATAACTTGACTTTTGTGACTTGAAGTAAACAACTCTAATATCAAATATGCCCTGTGAGAAATTAGTGTATTTTTCTGTACAAAAAATAATGTTCCTGGTGGCTCATTGGGTGACACTGCTGCTTCACATCTCCTGAGCTTTAATCCTGCCCCTGAGTTTGCAAGTTTCTCCTCGCGTTGCACGAGTTTCCTTTGGGTGCTCCAGTCTCCTGCCGTAGCTGAAAGACCCACAGTAGGGTTAATAGACATATTTAAATAACCCTGATTGTGTGTGGGTGCACCCTGCGATGACCTGGCATCCCGTCCAAGGCCTGCTGTGTCCTGTGAGGCCTGAAATAGCCTCCAGCCCTCCTGTGATCCTGGCCAGGATAAGTAGTCAGAAGACAGATGGGTGGAAAGTGACTCTTCGCTAAGGTTTAACCTACACAGTCACAGGAACACAGATCTCCATTCATCACCCAGCTGCTTATCCTGTACAGCAGAGTTTCTCGACCCATGTTCATGTTCATGTTTTTGCTCCCACCGCGCTCCCTGCTAGACAGTCCACATTTTTGCTCCTAAAATCCGTGGACTGCCCGGGGCTCCATGAGGACCCTGAGAAGCACTGCAGTGTTGGGTTTCAGGGAGGCCAGCAGTTTATGCCAGGCAGCACAGGGCACAATGCCAGTCCATCACAGGGCACGCTATGGGCAAGGTAGAGATGCCAAATCAGTTAACTGCCTGCTTTTGGACTGAGGGGGGAAACCCACGTGACATTGGGAGAATATGCACACTGCACACACACAGCTTTTGGGGGGGGGGGGGGATTGGACGCCTGGAGACCCCCACTGAACCAGCATGTCCATGCCCATTCAAACTCAAAAAAGGAGCAGAAATATATGCTATGAATGTGCATAACTTAATCACTATAAATTCACTCATTTTCAGCATTGTGGGGGGGGGGGGTGGACTGATGGTAAGCAGAAGGTGTTGGTGTTTTTGAGCACACTGGGACACTGGCTCCTGATGCCCTGGGCCACTGGAATTATCCAGCTACAGTAACGTCTGGGAATCCTGGCTTCGGTCTCCATTTTAATGCCTTCCCTTGCTGGCGCTTAAGGTCCGTCTGGCCATGTCGTGTCCTGTGCTGACTGGACCTACGGCGCATGAGCTAAGATCCCATCAGCCACGCCGAGGGCCACGACAAAACCCTCACGCCGTCACCGCCATTACCGCTACGCTGCTGTACGTTTAAGAGCACATTAGCAAATGAGAACACTCACTACACACAGCATGGTAATGATGTACGGATCTACACAGGCCTACAATACACTTAAAAAGAGATTTAGTGGTTCCACTTCAGTATAAATGCCCAAAAGGCAGCGAAAAAGAAACATTTTAAAGTAAAATTATCATTTTACATGATTATCATAATTGTGACACATTTAGTCAGTTAACAGCTATATAATCTTATTTTGTTTATAAAATGTGGCTCAATCCTTATTTTTCTTTACATATTATATACCGGTCTTAAAATTGTTCAAGAGTATATAGAATCTTTCAAATAATTTATTAATTTATTGTCTCTAATAAACCAACAAGCAAACAAACGAAACATTTTGGAGATTCACAAACTACCATGGAATACGTGTAATGAATTGCACTGAAGAATCTGGTACATCCAACAGTCCGACAGTACATATGAATATACATGAATGCGTGATTCCATTTCCTTCAACAATGCTAATAAAATGAACATACATTCCATGCTGCATCACAAGCGTGACATCTGTAATCCAAGGGCGTTGCATGCTTCTCAGTCTTGTTTACAGGAGATATTCCAGACATTTAACACACTACGTTGGAAGACTGTCCCAGAGTGAACATATTGCAGAAATTATTCAGTAAGTAGGGAAATGTATTCTAGCACATATGCGCATTGGCTGCAATGTGCACTGAGCACATCAAAGAAATTCAAACAGAAACACTGAAATGTGCTCGAGAGGGAAATAAGATCAGCCCCCCGCTTCCCTGTGCTGTGTTTTTTATTAATGTTAATGTTAATTAAATATGAGGAAAGGAGAAACAGGAAATAGCCATATGTTCACTATATGTAGGTTTTTGAAGTTTAAAATATACTCAAAGCAATATTCAATAGTGCTTTTCAAAAATAATTTAACAAATGTATGATTAGTCATCATTTTTATGGTGGAAATCTGTAAACAATTATCCACATTTTCGTTATTAAATAAGGTTTTTCCATTGAAAAAGTCTCTCCTTAAATAACAGGAATTCATCTTCATTTAGCAGTGCCACCCCAGGGAACTGGATGCTTTTTGTTTTTTTATTCGACAGCAAAGTCTGCAAAAATGTTATTCGTCAGCATGAACAAAAAAATCCGGTGGTCTTCTAAAATTTATAAGTCATTTACATTTTACAACAGCATATGCATTGTCACTGTTTCCCAACAAAAACAAAGTCCTAAAATGTGGCAATGGGAGGACATTGTGTGGGATTTATGTGAAGAAGCCAATGAGAGGCTGCAGGAACAAGCCAACGGTCCCCGAGACACAGACCAGCACAAAGACCCAGAGGAAGATCCGGTCGATGACCATGGCAACGTACTTCCAGTCGTCTTCCACCTGTGAGATAAAAGGCCGTCCGGGGGGGGGGGTCAGTGGTCCAGAATGCAGGCGAATTGGAGAAGAATGAGGACCAGAGCAGAAACACAACAAAATAAAATTGACCGAAGATACGTGACAAAAGGGTAAGAAGCATGGAAATCGTAGTTACGTAACGCAGGGTAAATATTCAGGGTGGAATTGAATATGGATAAGTGGAGAAGAAAGGAAGAAAAGAGGAAAGGAGAGAATAAATAAGAAAAAGGAATAGCTGCGATACTTCAGCTCCTCATTAGGAGATCTTCTGAATGACAGCGTGATATATTTCTAGCAAATATTCATCACCCATACAGGAAAACCTCCCCATCTATCATTCTATGCTAAACAAACTAAGAAACTCTCCAGTTTCTCTATCTATTCCAAGAAACTTTCTACATGTCAGAGTTCATTATAAGCATATTACTGCACTTTGTTAATTTGGTATCTGGTATTTTGGACGGTCAGTTTTAAGAAAAACTCCCAACAAAATAATGCCCATATCCACTGATTTCCTTGCTTGAGGTGGTCGTTTGCTCTGTCTCGCGTGTGCGTCTCAATGAGAAAATTATTCAAGGGGACCAGACCTGACTTCCAGACTTCTGGAGGAACTTGTATTATCACTCGACTGGACAAACTCACCTTACACATTTCTCTGTTTTTAGAGGTGCCTGAATTATAGGATGAGCCTAGCTAATCACCAGTGAGCTTTTGGCCACAGGAGAAATGTCCACCACTTGCTAACGTAATTTTTGATAGTATTCTTCCTGTTCCCCCCCCCCATGTGAAGTTAACTGTAATTTTTTAGGTCTTTACACCAATTCTACTGAAAAGTAATCCACTGAGTCAACGCGTTCCTACATATTGACTCAATAGGAACATAGCTGTACAGCATCCCTTGACTAGCTGCATGTCCTTCCTTGTTATATCTTATACTGGGGTCTTGAATGGAAGCAAATCCTACAGTAAGAAATCCTACTTGTGGAATGTTAAGCAGACCTACATCTTTTATGCATATTTCTTCATGATCAAAGTCACGGTTGGCCGTGGGGTACGGATTGCAGAATGTAGGGGTTGCTGTTTTATTTCATTCTGAATTTTATGTGTCTGCAGCTTCAAAAGGGAGTTAAAAGTATTTTTTTTTCCACCTCTTTTCCTTCACTGGTGTTAAGTTCGACCTTTCTTGAGTCTAGTTCTACTTCTTTGGTAAGACTAGACACCAGATCAAGGTTCCCCAGTTCCGGTCCTGGGGGGCCAGTTTGCTACTGCAGATTTCCCTGCTCAGAGACACTTACTAAACCTGGTAATTAGCTGATTAATTAAGATGTGTCAGCAGGGAATCTGCAAACTGTGTTGGATTCTGGCCCTTCAGGACCAAAATTGGGGAACCCGGCACAAGATGCTAATTAGCAGTTCGACATGCATAGTAAAAAAAAAATGGTACCTCTTTGGCTTTGTTGCGACTCCGCATGTTCTCCGCAATGTACTTGACGCTCTCGATGGCCTGTTTAATCTCGGGCGAGACCACGGAGAAGGCTACCACTTTGTTGATGGGCTGGGAGCTCAGCTGTTGGACCAGTTTGCCAGAGTCCGCATCCGAGTCACTGTTGGTATGCCGACACGAGCACTTGTTGGTGTCCGCGGGCAACGTGCTCTCACTGTACTCCAGAAAGTTTGTGGCACCTTGCTCAGAGGAGCTATTCTTGCTCTTCTCAACGCTGGCTATGCCTTTGGCTAGCCGATAGTCCATAGGCCTACGCATGAGCATGACACGGGGTAGAACCAGCAGGAAGACGGAGCGTACCCACCCGGGCATGGTGTGGGTTGTTGGCGTGCGGTAGTGCACGTTAAGGACGAAGACGGTGATGACGATGGAGAGCGTGACGAAGATCATGGTGAAGAGCAGGTACTCGCCGATGAGCGGGATGACCAGCGAGGTAGAGGGGATGGTCTCGGTGATGACCAGCAGGAAGACGGTGAGGGACAGCAGCACCGAGATGCACAGGGTGACCTTCTCCGCACAGTCTGAAGGCAGGTAGAAGACCAGCACAGTCAGGAAAGAGATGAGCAGGCAGGGGATGATGAGGTTGACGGTGTAGAAGAGAGGGAGCCGGCGGATGTAGAAGGAGTAGGTGATGTCAGGGTAGATCTCTTCACAGCAGTTATACTTAATGTCGTGCTTGTACCCAGGAGCATCAATGATCTCCCACTCGCCACTCTCCCAGAAGTCCTTGAGGTTGACCTTGGACCCGATCAGGACCAGGTCAATCTTGGCCTTGTCATACGTCCAAGATCCAAACTTCATGGAGCAATTCTGGTAGTCAAAGGGGAAGTAGGTGATGTCCATGGGGCAGGAGCTCTTAAAGATGGCCGGGGGAACCCAGGTCACCGTCCCGTCAAACTTTAGTAGCGCTTTGGTTTTATCTTCCACCAAAAAATCGCCCACAGCACTGACAAACAAGAAGAGTGTCACATCTAAATGAACATTATTACTCAATTTCAAGGTCTAGCTCAGGGATCTTCAAACCTGGACCTTGATTCCAAATCCATGTTTTCAGTTCTCCCAGATAGGTAGTTTAATAAATACTAAATCTGATTGGCTAGAGGCTTCACACCTGACTGACAGGTAAAGAAAGGCTGGAAAATCAGCAGGGCTCAGACCTTGAGGACCATCATCTGAATAACCCTGGTCTAGTCTACCCTAAAAATGTTATAATTACGACTTTGAGAATAAACAAGGGGTAGGTAGTTTTGCGGTCACTGCGTAGCTTAACCACCTAAATGTTGTCAGATAAAATCCCAGTTTTCACACCATCCTGAACTGCTTTAGCGATTATCCAGCTTTACCAATAATAAATCCGCATTACTTTGGATGCAAAACACCGACAGTGTAATACAATAACCACGGTAACTTACTTGTTGTACAGCACAATGTCCGGCCTCCATATTTTATTTGAGGGTACACGGATATACTCAATACCATCAAACTCTGCCGGGATCCACTTCAATTTGTAGTCATTCCAAATCTGGAAGAAAAAAAAAGAAAAGAAAACTTTTAAAGTTACATGATCGGAGCTTCTTTAATTTCTCTTCTCGTTCTTCTTGTGTCAGTTTTTAGTTCTGAGACAGGATTCCTGGGACAAGCTAAAGGCTTTAATGGTCTGAATCAAAAGGTCTGAATTAAGCACATTTTTTTAGCATGTAGCTAAAAGGGAGAAAGTTCTCTTTAATTCAGGAGAAAACCAACATTTGAAGGGATTCAAAACCATTAACGTAGACCAGTAGACTGCAAAGTCACCATTAAAATCTTAAGTACAGCCACAGAAAAAATTAAGAGACCACAGCACAATTTTTTGTTTCACTCATTTCTCAGTTTATGGGTCTGTGTCTGTGAATAATATATATCTTTTTAGCAAACTCCAGCCTGGTTCTTCCCTGTTCCTCATTGATGAAGGGCTTCTTCCTTGCTTTATGGTCTTCAGTCCTGCTTCTAGGAGCCTGATATGAACTGTCCTAGCAGTGCACTTCACACCTGCACTTAATGTTTCTCATTCTTTTTGAAGGTCACTTGATGTCATCCTCCGATTTATGAGGCACTGCTGGATAAGTTAACGGGCATCTCTGGCATTAGAAAGTCACTTCCTCTACCTGGCTGGTTTCTGGTCATTCCCAGTGTCTCCTGCTTCACCTTGTGTTCTGCTTTCTCATATATTTTGAACCTGAAAGCAACCTGCTGCTCAGTGTAGCCTCTGCCAGCAGAACCAGGATTAAACCGGGATTTAAAAATGCAGATTTGTTTAAAAATATAGAGTGGTCTCTTACTTTTTTCCATGGCTGTATATGGGAATGGATTATCAGTGTGCAAGTATATTGGGAAAATCCCAGTATGTATTGCTTTCATATGAGTATTTTGATTATTGGGTTGTTTTTTTTTTCCATATTTTCTGGAATGTTGCCGACTCAATTCTGTGAATCAGCTACTGTAACTCATTTAACGCAATTTATTGTGGTCAATAGCTACAGTCTTTCATTATTTTTTTGTTAGCTCAAAGCACTGTGTGCTAAAGCTATTAAAATAAAGTCTTTGCACATGCAAAATGCACAGTATTGACATGTCATCTCCCCTCAGTACACTAATCCCCAGCACGCTTTGTTAACGAGGTTTCACTCTGACCTAATGATGCACTAGCACAGTGCTCTCCTTAAGCTGTAAGAGCAGCGAGAGCTCTCAGCTTGGGGTGTGCATCACGCTATACCACATAGGGCTCCCATTCCCTGAAATTGCCCCGATACACATTGTAAATATTTAATTTGATGCTTACGCACCAGCTACTGGCCAATACAGACTCGGTTCCATATCTGCTGAAAGCGTGCTGGTCTCCTAAAGAACAGAATAGCATTCAAAAGGAGGAGGGGAGGTGCCTAATTCAGCAGCGTAGCAGGAAGGGTTGGGCGTAGATGCAAGCATTTGCAAACTAAAGTTTGCTTTAGTTTCAGGAGGGGCTCGGTTGTGGAACCGGGGGTCAGGCCCATATTATTCCGATTAAAGTTCTAGCAGTATACAAATTATAAGTTGGTTTGAATAAGTGTTTCATGTGAGCTGGATAAGCCTTTGGAAATCTTTCATGCAACGTTAGACAGGCACCTTAAACATCCGCCTCTCGTTTGAACAGCTCTCCTGACTATTTAACGCGCCGTATCACTGAGGGCACCTTCTGAGCTCCAGCTAACCCTGCTCTCGGTGATAGCACAAGCTGGGCTCTTAGGCGCTGTGCTCCGCTTGATTAAACTCCTGCCGGGTGTTGTGAACCACTCCATTAACGGGTCGCGCCGGCGACGGCAGAAAGCACGGACGGAGGTGACATTACTGCTCAAATGGCAGGCAGCACGCTGACTCTGACGCTGAAATAACAGTGTGGGTGTTAGCGTCAGCCTTTTCGGGAGCGGCTGGATGTCTCATCAGTGGCTGGATGCCGTCTGACCCCCAAGTAGCCTTCTCATAGTTTTTGTACTGTAACATGTCATACTATACTATATGACAACACTATACTGCACTATACTGCCAGCTGAACCCAAGCTAGTTTTCTGACAGTTTTTGTACTATAATATTCTATTCTATACTATACTTTACTATACTGCTGCCTTAACCGCAGCTAGTTTTGTGACTGTTTTTGTACTATAAACACATAGTCATACCATAACATTATACAATTCTATACTATAGCATAGTTCACAATACTATAACACCGGCTTATAGTGATCATCCTACAAAGGGAAGGCTGGCTTCACCAGCAATGAAAGGCAACCGGATGATCTTTCTTGCCAGTAAAGAGCCTTTTTAAGGGAGCTTGCCAACGGTGAGCATTAAATACAGCAGTGCTTGGCATGGCACAAGAATCGAGAAGGGGGAAAAAACAGGTGAAAGCAAAAACAGGACAAATTAAACCTGCGATTATCACCAGCAGATGTTGACACAGCTTTCCAAATATTTGATTCCAGTCTCTCCAAACACATTAAAAAATGCAAAATGAAGGTAAACAATCTCTCTTTAGCATACATACATACATAACATTGTTGTGATGCTGTTTATTCTGCACTCTGACAGGATGAAGATGCCATCCTCTGTCAGGAGTCACAGAAATCTGGCTCTACTTTCTTCATATTAACAGTCATCTATTGCAATATGGACACTGACCCTCTGGATTTCCGTGCAAAGAAACTCACAGAGGGCGTACATCAGGGTCAGAGGTTCTGCCGTCGGAAGGTTTTAATCTCATACTCAGCAGAGCAGCCCTTGAGCGAGGTCCTTAACCCCGGGAAAATTCTCCATGGGTGCGGATTGTGCTTCCAGCCCTGCGCTCAGACCCTGATCTTCACCTTCATCTCTATATATGCAAGACTTCCCAACGTAGCTATTTCAACTTACATGTCTTAGCCAAAGATTCGTCTCCATAATCTGATTCACTTCATCCTGCAGTGTGGAAACCAAACACATTATGCATCATCAAGGATCACACTGCAGAATCACCTTTAAACTGGACAGCAAGGGTGAAGTGGAAGAAATCTGGGGAAGGGCCTCAAAACACAGTTCCTGTTCATTAGTAATTAAAACCTCTTATTCATTTAGTTTTATTTGTGGCTTTTTATTGAACAACTTAAGGAATGGGGAATAAAAGTTTATTGTAATAAAATGCTTTTGCTCTCATTGTGGGAGTTTATTAAATAGTAACACTTGGCTAATAATTATCAGTGTGCTGGTGGGTGTGTGATTCAGTGGGTTAGAGCACTATAGACTGGGTTCAAATCCCAGGGCTGCTGGTTCAAATCCCAAGGTCAGCTGAGTTATTTCGCTGTTGGGCCCTTGAGCCTTAGCCCCAATTACTCCTGGGACTGGCTGGCCCAGCGTTTTCAAAAATGTTTGTTGCTTCAGGTAAAAGTGTCTGCTAAAAATAGCTGTTCAACTTGCAATGTATTTAGTTCTGCAGCTTTGGATCAACTAAAATTGTGTGATGTAACAGGCCATTCGTACTTTTATTGTCAACACTGTTATCTAACTTATCGGCAGGTCGCATATTAAATAAACCAACTGTGAAGAAAAATGTATGTATTTTAGGGTACCGACATAAGACATTCTATTTTTAACTGTTGACTATTCAGCAGCTATTTTACTGGCATTTACATTTAAAGTATTACAAACTTTTGTTCAAATTAACATGCATTTTCTTTAAGAAAACAGCAGCAGACGACTCTTAGAGCAGCTGGTAGTTACAGGTCTTGCTGAAGGGCCCAGCAGTGAAACCGCCCTATCAAACCCAGGATTCGAACCAGCAACCATCAGGTTACAGGCGTAGGAGCCTAACCGACTGAACCCCACCCCCAATGCTTCACAGTACATCTATATTTAAAGGCAATATCTGAAAGGAAGTGCACATCTTCCCTACGCGATTTAAAAATGTTTTTAGTAAGAAATTCTCAGACTATTGCCATGACACACACACGTGAATAATAATTAGCTTTTAGCGACGGGAGCATTCATCTGAGCTGCTATCTCGTGTAATGCACTAAATTGAAAATGCAAGTGCATTCAGAGGCAGGCGCAGACTTTGAGGGCCCCCTGCCGCGAGGTGTTCTGCAGGGCGGTGAGGGGGCTGCCGTGTGAGCATGATGGTCTGGTGGGAAGCCAAAGGCACCACCGCGGCCTTGGCGTGTTCTCCCCGTGTTCTCCCCATGTTCTCCCCGTGTTCCCACAGTCCGATTTTGCTTGGTTACTTATGGTTATGGTTAGAGCTGGATAGGGGTTAAGGTTGTCTTAGTTAGAGTTAGCATTTTTCCCCATAGGAATGAATGAGTGGTCCTCATAAGGATATATTTATCCAACGTGTGTGTGTGTGTGTGTGTGTGTGTGTGTGTGTGTCGTGTATGTATGTGTGTGTATCCTGTGATGGACAGGAATCCTAACCAGGGCCCCCTGCCCTGCGCCCAAGTGATTCTTTATCAGGTCAGTGGCTTAGGATGGTTTATTGAATATATGTCCTTTAAATTGTACCTTATACAAGTCCCAACCTATGTTGTACAAAGCATAATATTTTATTTTAGTGAATAAACAAGAATGAACAATAAATGGTCTACAATTTGTCCACTCTGCTTTAATGAAGAAATGAATATTTCCAGGCTTACGACTTTCACCAGCTGCGATATTGAGACTTCGAACTGCACGGTGACTGGATCGGACACGTTTTCCACGGGCCGGATGTACTGGTTGTATCGCTGGAAGAGCCTCCGGAAGAGTCGATCTTCCCCTTTGGATGAGAGGCCGTCTGGGCAGATGGTAGAGGAAGGGGGGGGGTTACCAGAAACGTCTGTCAGACCACTTACCGCCACAGCGAGTTCGCAGTCTATTTACATAAACACGAGACTCTCTCCAGAAGAGCGACACTAAAATAGCTCATCTCAGACTGTCGCACTAAACTTTTAAGCAATGCTTTACTGAAGCTGTTAGTAAATATCCCTACTACTTTTCTTACCAATAATGCAAACAGAATGACAATAATAAAGATTAAATTAAAAAAAAAAAAATAATTCAAGAACCACATAAATAGTTTTGACTGCTAATTGTGCAGCTAATAATGCTACTATACTATTGCATGACTTTTATTTAGAAGATGCTTACATCCAAAGGGTCAGACAGTCTTTGGGGCTGTTAGAGTTAAGGGCCTTTGTTTGGGGCCCCACTGATGACATCACCATGCTGATCCTAAGATTTGAACCAACAACCTTCTGATTAGCCTGTGAACCTGTAATCACAAGGTCGCTGGTTCAAACCCAGCCTCAGCACGTCTGTGGGTCCTTGAGCAAGGCCCTTAACCCCCAGCTCCCTGGGCGCCCCAACGGGTGGCTGCCCTTCGCGGACAACTTACTCTACAAAGAGCAAGTTGAGGGAGGCGTAAAAACAATTTCCCCACGGGGATCAATAAAGTATCAAAAAAAAAAAAACACTACTTAAAATCATCTTCTGGTATTACTAGTGCATCGTTGCTCAGCTTCAGCTCTTCCTGGAGACTCTAAGGCCACTGAAGATGAGAGCAGCTGCCCGACGGATAGATGCCAGCGTGGGGACGATCGGGCCGGGCGTGTCGCCCCACATCTTCAAGAAACAGCAGCACACGATGCCAGAGAGACTTCAGTTAGTCATGCTCTCCAACAGCACTGACGCACACAGCAAAGAGAAAGAAAGTCTTAGCGTCTTACAGCCGGAGCGTTCAAGAAGGAGCCCGCAGAGACGTATCATAAATTGAAGAAATGTTGCTATTGTTATCCGCCTTATGCAACACAAGAAGAATTCGGGGGGGGGGGCTTCATTTGTAGCAAAAAAAAACATTCAACCCCCCGAGAAAGAAATATCAAAGTGTCACCAGTCCTCATTACTTAAGTGATCGTGCATCACTAGTAGGGGGTCCTAAACTTTATGGTCTGTTCTCATTTGGGGGGTTTTCTTTTAGAACCCCATCCTCTAATAAAGCACAGCGACAGGCCATCATATTCGTGGATTCAAGGTCATCTCGTTATAAATCTCACGGCCCAAATTACATCCGGTGTCATCAGTGTCTAAAAGCCTCGATGAAAGTAAGGGGTGGGCGTAAATATGGGAGACTCTGATGAAGCTGTCCAGAGAAACCCCACGAAGTTCCTGCAGATATGTTATTTTCAGCCGTTCTCCATTTACGCGCACGTCGACAGTGCCCCGTCCACACGACGCCCCCGCAGACCAGACCTCTGATAACAGCCAGCTCTACGTGAGAGGATCTGAGCGTCCGGGGGACAGGGAGGCTGTAGCGGAAGCGATGTTAGCGCGAAGCGGTTAGCACCCCCACCAGCGTCATGGCTTTCAGTCGCGCATATATTCCAGAGGCTCCCGGCAGGGCATCAGCTGAAGGTCAGCCACGGACATCTCGCTGGCAGATGTGCTTTTCTTAGCTAGCCACAGGGCTAAGGGAAGACTTAATTCATTCTGCCTCAGTGAAGAAACGACCCTCTGTTTGATCTCCTCTCCAGTGGATTCGCCATTTGCTATGAAACCTACGTTTCAAAAATTATACGTTGCTTAATTTTATATATATATATATATATATATATATATATATATATATATCGATGGCATCATAACCGTCGGTGAGCGGCAAGATTGACAGTGCCTTCCCATTTTGGCATGACAAATATGCCCACGGGCTCCCAGAAATCTGTCACCGGTCAGCTGAAGGCGCGAGGAGCTCCTGCCCCAGGCGAGTTACAGGTAGGGTCACTTTTTCACAGGGTGGTAAAAACACAAGCCGCATTTCCCCCTCCCCCCCCCTCTCGTCCTCCTCCCAGTCCTAAAGTTTAAGTGCAGCAAGTCTGGGATGCAATAAGGACTCAAAACCCAAAGGATTCCTGCTTAAATTCCACTTGGGCTGCTGCTGTACCCTTAAGCAAGGCACACAATTCGAGCCGCTCAGAATATAAGTGGTAAAAATACAGGGTTACAATCTGCTTTGTATAAAAATGTCAACGTATGGGAAACCTATGATGCAGTGACTCAATTCTGCATCAGGAAATTAAAGAATTTGCGACCTGTTAATTAACTGGCCCTTCTTTGGCATTCTTCCCCCGCAGAGCTGAGCGATAACCTTTGGAAACGGACATGACACAAAGTTAATTTACAGCTAATCATCACGGCCTGCTAAACCGGTCTCGAGTAATAACAGAAACACTGTATGGGATGGTGCTACTGTTTTCAGGAAGCAATTATACAAGTCTGACATTTGGCGTCTTTTAACTCGTGATGGGTTGGAAAAGTGTAGGATTTCAATGCCGCGTCAAAACCTCGGGCTTTTGGAGGAAGCCACTGTGAAAACTAGAGGAAGAGACACCCACTCTGTCAGCCCGTTGGCTTGGCGCTCTTTTTACCTCACAAAAGGTGACTACATGGCATTTAAACTTAGCTTAAAACTGGGAAAATTCCAGACATACTTTCTGTTTCACGGGGAACCTGAGATACGGATGAACTGATGCTGACTACGATACAGCACAAAGACACGTATACACGTCCATCCATCTAACCACTTATCCCAGTCAGGGTGACGGGGACCCTAACCCTATCCTAAGCATAGGATCATAGGACACAAGGTAAGGGGACACCCTGGATGGGATGCCAGTCCATACATACATGCAATTTAGAGACACAAATTAGCCTACCTGCATGTCTGTGGAATGCAGGTATAAACCAGGAGTACCCAGAGGAAAATTTGTACCACAGAAATAACTTTCGACCTCCACACCCAGAGGCAAAGTGGTGGTTCTGAAGCTAAGGAGCTGTACTAGCAATCAGGAAGTTGCTGGTTCAAATCTCATGATTGCCAGGAGTAATTCTACTCCATTGGGCCCTTAACCTGCAGTTGCTTCATTTTGCGTATCATGTTAATCTACATCTAGTCGAGCAAGCAGGTCCTCTGAGTTTCACGGGAATATTTGGGGGTTGGTGGCAGGACTGGCAATCTAGCTGCCAGAAAAACCTTCCCAGTGTTGCAATCGACTCAAATTAGTGTGGTACGGCACCACTGCACTTGGGTTCCTATCCCTGAGGTGGCGAGTGTGTCAACATGTGCTCCTAACCTCCACACACACACAGAGCAGAGGCGGGATTCGAACCAGCAACCCTGGAAATGAGCTACTCATTGGGTCACCCCCATAGCTGTCAAGTCTCCCGTTTTGGCCGGGAAACTACCGTATTTTACCCCTCTTTCCCGCCGTCCTCCCGCATTAGTATTTTCCTGTAAATCTCCCGTATTATAATATCATTATAAAAAAATTCCTCTGCCTCTCCAAACTGAACTGTCAGTAGCCTCGAGACCTGCCACCTGCAGTAGCCTGCAGGTCATTTACAACATTAACCAGGTCATAAATGCGGAGGTTAAAATGGCAATGCTTTGTGCCAAAAACAACGTTACTTACACCTTCTGTGACGACTTCAACAAGGATACAAAGTCTGCAACAAATCTGTATAATAAGTCATTAGTGAATGCCAGAGAGCCACATGAGTGAACATGAGAAATGAAAAGAAAATGTGTAATGAAAATAAAATGTAAATGACAAGTGGTTATTTTAGATTTCTTGTACACCTGTCTTAGAATGTAAGGGATACTGGAGCTTGGTTGGGGTGGTTGGGTGGTGGGGCGGCTCGCGGTGGGTGCCGGAAAAGTTCCCTTATTTTCAAATCCAAAACTTGACAGGTATGGGTCACCCCATGGGCAAAAATAAGAAAAAAAAATGGCCCAGACCCAAAATCGCAAACCATTAAGCTTTTAAACAGTCTCAACAGCAAATAGCCAGAAGATATTTTGGAAATTTTTGAACTCCCACACATGTATTACTTTGAATTTTGTATCAAACATTTCAATCTTTTCATGATTTTATCTTTGTGTACAAGAAGACTATATAAGTGAATTTCCCCGTTCAGCGCACTGTGTCCCACCTGCTCACTGCAGCAGTGCGCAGTGACGAGCAAATGGCGGCACAGGGCCTGGGATGACATTTTATTAATTCTAGCTAATTATTTGACCAATGATTTGTTGAGACAATTAAAAGCATAATATTTTCCAATGTTGGGTTTGGCCCATTTTTTGCCTCGGAGTGCATGTATAAATAAACATGGATGTCAATAAAGCCTAAACAACGTCAAACAAAATCCATCCATCTGAATCGATTGGGATACAAAAAGAAGATATCCTATGAGGTCCAGCTAACCTAACGGATTTTAGCGATTATCTTCTATGTGCCACTCAATTGTTAAAGCATCTGCTTACAAACAAGCACAAATCCGGCAATTAAAGAGGTTTTTCTGCTAGTTTTGTTCACCGGCAACTAATTCTACCCTTTGATCTCCACGCCTGTGACATGCCAGACTTATTAATGTGACCGAGTTTCATGTCCACGACACAACAGAGACGCCCATGTTTTTTTTTTTTTTTGTTTTTTTTTTAACAACCGGTTCAGATCCGTGTGGAAATAAATCACAGGTTTCGATTGGACTTCGAAATGGGGCCATAGGGCTTGTAAATGCCAGCCGTTAGACATGCTTGGATTATCTGGGTCTAATGACAACAATAGATAACTCTACTCATTTTAATGTTCTGCTCTTATAAAATGCTACATGTCAAATTTGAAAATGAGCATAGAAATATATAACAGGAAGCCCTGCTGTAAAACAAGGATTGCAATACAGCAGTAATGTAATACATTTACATTTACATAAATAACATATACACTGATGGACTGGCATCCCATCCAGGCTGTGCGTAGCATGTTATGATCCTGGGTTTCAAACTTGGATCTATAACTGCTTCTTGTTTACTTAATACAAGGCATTTAATGTAATCTGACCATACAAAGAATCCAAACAACTAATGGTGACACTTTGCTTGACGGGGTACAAACAATGTAGTGTATTACAGTAATATACCATTAATTACGTATTAATTAACCACGAACTAAGTCTTAGTTGCATACTGATTTTATGTTAATTCATCATTAATGAATCGTGACATTTTATCTCATTTCTTGCTATCTATATCTGTTAATTCTGTAAACCTTTGTGAACTATACTAATGGAACAAGTCATGAACAACACAAGTTGAATAATGATCTCATATTTGTTCATCATTAATGAATCATGATGCATCTTTTATCTTAAGTAGCAACTATATAAGTTTGTGATTTGTTCATAATTTGCAGTTCAGTATAGTAACTGAATTATTACTAAGTATTTGTGCCCCATCAAGTAAAGTGCTACGGAACTAATATTTACCACCACGCCAAATTTGCCCAAGCTCATTTCCCAGGCTCACTGTGTTTGAATATGATTCCCATATTTATGATAACCATAAACTAAAAGGAAGTCCGTAAATCATGCTCAAAAGAGGCCTTAAAAATTATATAAAACGATAATTGATTCTGGTCTTGCGACGACTCTGAGAGTATCCTTAAAACACGAAGACCTTCTCCTGACTGGTGAACTGTGAATATCTGGGATGCTCATCGCAATTACAGGTCTGCTGCGGTTGAATCGATGTCAGTGACTAATGTGCTATCAGCTGTCTCCAAGAGGACAAGCCGGGGCTATTCCGAAGCGAAATCGCACACAACTCCAGTCCGGAATCCTACGCTTGGTTAACCTGCGGGAAGCGGAGAAGATGCGGCATTTGGCAGTCGGGATTCTCGGTTCACAGCTGGTCTTGCGGAAAAGGGAGTCTGATAGAAGCGGAAATACCGGAATCCACTCGCTGCGTGCGGCAGAAACGGGCAGCTTAACATGATCAGACAGATGATGCGTTTGTAAGTGCATTCCTTGTTGCCCTGCTGGTCACTATATACATCGTTCCCTGCAGAGACAGGCATACATTCTCATGCAAGGGCACGTGTCACGTAGCAGAGGACTTATTACAGACACAGACAGGTAATACTTCCATGTCACTTGGACATAAATCGCCTTAAGTAGATGTATGTGACAGAAGCTGTTTGCAGGATTATCACAAATCCCACTCGAAGAGTACACTATATAACATATAAATATGAATGAGAGGATTTCATCAAGGTTACCAAGGGAAAGACATAACCAAACTCTCAAATGACGTGTTTGAATCTTTCCCAGTCTGCAGGCGACATTTACAAGGCATCAGAATAATAATAATACTAATTCATTCAGTAATCAAAACGAGCTTTGCATAAGCTAAATTAATTCTATGCTCCAGAAAGACTTATATAAGATGCATTGCAACATGCACAAGTATTTTAAACTTCTAGATGCTGAAAAAAACAGAATGCTTATTCCAGTATTATCTAGTACATTTTTCTGCATGAAGTCCAGTCTGCAGCTGCTTGTCAGTGTAAAGTTGCTGATCCCTGGTTTAGGAGATCATATGCTGGAGAAGAGAGGAGGAGAAAGACTGGTGACAGGATGTAAACAGCCAATATAAGACTGAACTGCTTTGTAAGATATGGTTATGCTCTCCAGCCAGGTTTCATTGTTGCATAACACATTTCTAAAAACTACCCTCCCTAACCTTAGGTAAACCTTCACTCAAAGAGAAAGGGAGATACTGGATTGTGGATGTCAGAAGGGTTTTATAGCATTGTGGGCAGAGAAGCTGGCAAGTGTTCACACTTTTAACATTAAAAATAAAGACTGAAGATACAACCAGATTTCTCGACTGGGAGACAGGTCCTGAAATAAATCCAGAAGCTCCACAGCCGCTGAAAATCCCATCAAAGGGATGACACTCATGTTGAAGGACCATAACATTGCCAGACATGGATAATTGTACTGCATTTCCCATCATGCTCTCCACCGGTCAGCTGATTTTGTCTACGCAAATGAAGTGCACAGGAAGTGGAACACAACCTAGTTACTTCTAAAAGTCAGCCTAAGAATGCTATACTGTATGTGCATTGATGACTAAAGGGGAGATTAAACATTAATGTTGGGTGAGAATTCCTCCAGTGTGGATAGCAGACAGATCTGTGTGGCACTGGGATTGAGAATGGAGTTATATTTTTCTTAGGGATGATTTTATCCGTCCACAGTCCACTGAAGTAGGGAAAGGACAAGTCAGAATGAACACAAGGAAAACAAAAGATAGATTTTGGTATGAGGGCCTGGGAGTTCTAAGCCCAGTAGAAGTCAGGTCAGGCACTGGGATCTGGAATGTTTACTGGGCCAGACAGAAAGAATCAATTTATACAGTCAGTTATGAACAAGGGTGTGCAGAGTGAATCGATGAGCGACTCTGGTCACCTGGGTCTCCCTCTCTATTAAGTCATAGGTCAGCCAATCAGTTCACAGGAAAATGTCAACAGAAATGGAATCAAGCAATCGGGGCG